GCTGCTTCCCCTCTCACAAGAGTCACCTAAGAGGGGAATTCCCCCCATTTTCAAAAATGAAATTCAGGCCCTGAATAAATGTCTAAAAATCCTGATTGGAGTATCACTATAAATAGTTATAAATGATAAAAAGTAGGCTTTAAAAAGATCGGTATCGGTGATCGGTATCGGCAGATACTGCTTTCTGTGATCAGCCTCAAAAATCCTGATCGGAGCACCCCTACTAAAAACATTTTAAAAAATGTTACTTGGCATAAAATAAATGTTAACTGAAATAAAAAATAAATAAATAAAAACTTGCCAAGGGAACACTTATTATTTTCATTTAGTTTAAGTTTAAAGAAAATAACTAATACTAAATAATTTAAAACTGATAAATATAAATTAATAAATACTATATAGACTTTCAAATAAATATAGTGACATGACATAAAATTACTAAAACTTTAATTAGAATTAAAGTGAAAACAGAAAATATAATTTTAGTTAAATTAGTAATTTTGTTGTGCTTTTGTCATTTTTATTTTTGTTGTTTTTAAATAAGTATAATTTTTATTTCAATTTTAGAGATGGTTAAGTAAATAAAGTTAAACTAAACGAAAATGAGATAAAATAAAAGTTTTTGTTTACATATGTGTGTGTGTACTGTGTATAATTAATCTAGTTCTACAGCACTAAAAACGACATTAAAATTTATTTTTTTAAATGACAAAATAAAAAAAGAATCAAAACGCACAATAAAAATTACTAAAACTTTAACAAAAATTTTAATTAAAACAAATATAAACTAAAAAATAACCCTGATTTTACTGATTTTCATATTACATACAGTGATGAGATTTTTTGGTGTGTCCTTAATTTTCATGTTTTTTTTTAATACAGTAGTGTAAATCATAAATTTATGAAACTTGAGTGATTAAGAATTGAGCAAGTGAAAAATGGGGAAAATATGGGTTTCTTTAAAATAAATTATAACTGAAATAAAATATAATAAATCTTAAGCTTATTTTATTTCACCTACTTTTAAAATGAAATAAAGATGAATAAAAGCTATTTTAAAAACAACAAAATAACTAAATATTTAAAATGAAAATGAAAACAGAGGTGTATAATATAAATAAAATATATTATTTATAAAAAATAAAAATAACAAGCTATTATAGTACCTCAGTGATACTAAAATAACACTGATTTTTAGTACATATTCATGATTTCTTAGAATAAGAAAATAAACATTCAAATGCCGTTATATTATGGGTGAAAATGGAATTAGTAGAACATTCCAAGACACATTTTAATCTTTAAATAACGTTCTAATCACAAGAAAACTGGACATTTTAATGTTCTTGGGGTATGAAAATAAATGTTCAAATAACGTTATATTCCGAATGAAACTCAAGTTAGTAGAATGACGGAAGGAACGTTTTTATAACATTTAAATAACGTAATAACCACGACAGGAAAACTGGACATTTCAACGTTTTAGAAACATTTCAAAACAACATTCCCACAATGTTTTTATGAGCTAAACGTGTTCCCAAGAGCTTACGTCATTCGCAGTGCATCATGGGAGTGGACAGACACCGTTTCCATGGTAACACTGACAGATCGCTGTATTGGGCTTCAGGATAACGAGTCGTGCAATTCTTCACTTAATCTGACACGATTGAAGCGTGTTTGTTCAGATGTAAGCATAATGTAATGTCACCATGAACCGTCATAATGGGCCAAAAGAGCTTGATCTTCTTTATGCATCATGTTCAGGATGAGCCGTGGCTGGATGACGAGCACAGCGAATACTTAGAGGAGCTGAAGATGGAGATGCTGGAGGAGGAGGAGGAGGAGATGAAGAGAGCGACTCGAGAGGAAGACCAGAAGGTCAGAGAACAATCATCACGCACTTCAGCTGGAAACTCTGCTTTCTCTTGAAATGTTCGTGCTGGAAAAAATATAAACGTATTCTAGCTAGCTGCCAAGGCAACATTTCTCATTTGTATTTAGTTTAACTAAAACTGAATAAACTAAAACTGAATAAGTAGCATAGACGAATTTAAATAAAATATAAAACGACAAAAACACAAAACTAAATTACTAAAACTTTATTTAAAATTAAAGTGAAAACAGAAAAAATATAAAGAAAATCCTATTCAGAATATTAACAAATATTTTAATATTTTGAATTAGATTTTATTTTTTCTGCTTTCATGTTCATTTTACTTAAAGTAATGTTTGTTTTTTTCCCATTTTCAGTAGTTTTTTTTTTTCATAAAATTATTACATATATTTTATTTCAGCTACTGAAATAAAAATTAATAAAAGCTATGTTTTTAATATTTCATAAGATTTTATTCAGTTAATATTTATTTTATTTCAAGTTACAAAAATGTTTTTTTTAATGGTTTTAATTTAGTTTTAAATTTCCTATTTTTGTAGTATTTTTGTCTTGTTTTCCAGTACAAATATCTAAATGTTCCTAAATTAATATATATTTACTTCAGAAGCAAAATTACAGAAGATATAAAATCTTGTTTTTCTAACAAAAAATATCAAAAATATGTTTATAGAGTTTATATTTAAAACAAGAACAAATATCTGCCATTGGATTTTCATTTTGAATTGTTTTTTTTTTACCTCACTGGCTGATATTTGTTCTTGTTTGAAGTATAAACTTACTTAATTTAGATTTTTTCAGAAAACATTACTCAATTCTTGCTCTCAAGCAAGAATGTTTATATATGTGACCCTGGAACACAAAACCAGTCATAACGGTCAATTTTTCGAAATTGAGATTAATGCATCATCTGAAAGCTGAATAAATTAGCTGTCCATTGATGTATGGTTCGGCTTCCTACGTTTATTGTAGTATCTGCCTTGTCTCTCTTGGGCTTGACTGGTCTTCTCCCTCACTTGGTCAAGAAGAGCTTTTTGCCTTTCAACAGTGCTGTTGATCCTCTCAGTTAAGTTGGTCTGTGGATGATATGCTGTACTGAGTTTTTGAACTACACCCCATCGCTTGCAGGTATCATTGAGTAACTGGGCAGTGAACTGAGGGCCGCGGGCTGAGACCAGGTATGCTGGGGCTCC